TACGCTACGTCAATTAGAAAAAAATGTAAACATTTATTTTTGAATTAGATATTTCAGAATACTAATTGTCTGTCTCGCTTTTTACTTTATTATTACAACAACAACATCCATTATTTCTGTTTCCTTTTATTTTGTTTTCTGATTTATAGATATTATGTTTTCTTTTACCTTTTTTCTTTTTTAATATGTTTTGTTTTTTAGAAGTTAACTTGAGTAGCTCTTAGCTAGACAAGTACGTAATATTGTTTTTTTTTTGTTGCCATTTATTATTATATTATTGTTATTAAAATTTGTATAATCATCTCTACCAACAGTGTGATGTCATCTCAAGTTTTTGTATATAAATTTTATTAATAAAAATATACTCCGACACTTGTGATTCATGAATCTGCCTTTATTTGTTACACTAGACAACCACATTTGCAATTTATAAAAAAATCTGTACTTTCATGTTTTCACGACGTTCAGGACCCCTACAGCACAAAAAAATAGGTATCCCATTTCCGTCTGTCTGACTGTGGGTCTGTCTGTTGTCTGTGTTATTATATAGATGTAATCTCCAAAACTACTGGACCGATTGTTGTCAAATTGTGTATGTACAGTATGTCCCGGATTGAGTTTAAAAGAGGATTTTTGTGGTTACTTTACAGGAAAAATCAAACGAATACAAATTTTTGGTACAAAAATTTTAAATAATGCAGATTTTTTAAGATAATTGCATTTTTTCTATGCAATATAATATATAAAAAAAACTTAATTTTTGTTGCTTATTTAAACACATGTTTATAGTTACTATACTATACTTTTAATTGCAGAATTAGTAACATTAAACTGTTCTTTTGGTATTTTTTTGGTAAATCATGAATGGATTTTTTTCCTCTTGTAAATTTAATCCGGGGACATCCTATATTTTAGAAATATTTTTTGTCTTATCATCCCCACCAACAATATCATAATACGAAGTTCGACAAGCGGATCTCGTGAGTAGTTAATCGAGTGCCCCCTTTTTCCAGTTCTTTTTTTATTGGTCAAATCCAAAATGGTTCATCCTATTTTCTCGAAAATGTAAAAATTTGTAGTTTAATTAATTAGTCCTCTTCTTTGTTTGGGGAGACAAAATCGTCAAATTTAATTTTACTTTAACACAAATGCACACTTTGATCTGCCGTCGCTGATGCTGGTACGTGCTTAATAGTCGAATTCTTTCATATTAAACTTAAATAGTTAAGCATGTAGCGAGAATTCAGCAGGGTTATGAAAAAATGACGTATTTGCTCGACGGTACGTTGTTGAGAAGGCTGCAGAACTCGAAAAAAGATCTCTGAACCAAATGTTTCAAAACGCCAAAATTGAAAAATGAACTTCGTAATTGTAACAATAATATGTTTTAATGTGAATTTTATCGAAAATTCCGATAAAAATTGTCAAAAATGAGATCTGTCAACAGTAAAATATGACATTGCGAATTGTATTGTAACAGATTATTATTAAATTATCATTATTAGCAAATCATAATTACGAAGTTAATTCTTCAACTTTGACAAAAGCTTGGTGCAGGGATTTTTTTTAACCATTTTTTTCGAGTTCTTCAAAATTTTCTTAACAACGTATCATCGAGAACATACGACATTTTTTCATCATCCTGTATATTTCGTATATGCCATCGAGTCCCCAGTAGATAGCATGCTTCTTTGCCTGTAGTTTAATAGATATGCAAATCATAGATATCTTTACTTTAGCTTATAAAGGTTATAATAAAAAAAGAAATCGCAAAATTAAATTTTTACTTGCCAAGAAGTTTTACCTGTTTGTTCCACTGTACTGTAGGGGCGAGAGAAGTTGTGTATAGTTTTAAATGCAACACTCTATACATTGTTACGTTGATCGGTGATTAAAAATTGGCGTGGGTAAAACTCAACAATTTATTTCTTAATAACTCAAATTTACACGGTTATTTATTACACAGCGATTATGTACAAAATAATTGCAGCGGCTGTACTTTCGTGAACTGAATCGCGAATAATAACCGTTCCCGAAGGTGACCTCCATTTAAGGCCATACATCCCTTCTAGAAGCTCCACAGTCGAGGTCTTTCTGGATTGCCCATCGCTACTTCCGCTTCCAGGCTTTCCTTTAGCGAACGCCGCCCGGCCGCCGTCACCGACGATAAGTCATCATGGCCGTACATACCAAACCCCATAGGCGTCGTACCGGGGCGGGCTATGGGTTTCTTTCGTAACAATATTTTTAAGTGTTTAGAAAAATCACGTATACACAAACGGAGTTTGTTCAACACTTTTCAACATATTTGCATTTTTTATATAAAGAAGTATTGCCTGCTGGAATAGAAGTGAAAATGTTTTAACTTTAACAGCATGAAAAAAATTGCAAATTGTTAATATTCTCGTACACTATAAAACTTATCTTTAGTAAGAATTCTTTTGATACCTGATTTATTGACATTTTTTCTAAAAGTTTATTTGGAATTACTGGTACTATTAACCCCAAAAAATTGGTATTTTTTTTAAGGGAAAGTTCAAACATTGTAAATGAGTTCTTTGAGTGTTGCGCCAAGTCACAGAATTTTTTTAATCATCTACGATAAATGCGACATATTGTTGTATAACGACATTTTGCAATTCAACTTTGAAACTGCTAAACCCACTGCAAAATTTACACGGTATTCCTAAAATACTTACAAAATTTGACAACAAACGGTGCGATAGTTTCGAAGATTATCTGTGTAACAAAAATCGACAGAGACAAATAGGTAGACAGGCAACAGTTGAGAGACGACAGAAAAATGGAAACAGGAGATCTATATCTACTCTAGAGGTCATGAAACGTCGAAAAAACATGAAAGCAGCCAATCGTCGGTGGATGGGAAATTATTTAATTTACATAATTGCCTTGTATCTGCATATAGTGCAAATTTTTCAGAAGGTCTATTTAATTTTTTTAATATTTGAAGTGACGCCATTAATTTTTTGACGGTAATAAAATAAGACATGTTGGATAGGTACAATGTGACACTAATTATAACGGAGCTGCATCCCGCAAATTTGAGGAAATGCTCTTGAAACATTGTAAAAAACCAATGTGTTTATACATAAAATTTTGTGAAGTATTTTCCAGGCAATTCTTGAAAATTAAATAAAAAAAAATACCAAATCGTCAGATGTCAATGAACACCATGCAAACTTTACAATTTTGAAATTAGCGTGTCGAAATCTATACCTCAGATATTTTTGAGGAATACTAGACAACTTTGTGAAAATCAAAATTTCTCAATACTGTTTCATGAAAATTTCCGGATTTTTCGACCACCTTCGAAACTTTACTAATACATTTTCTTGTAAATTTCGACTTTCAAAACTTACTTTCGACTTCATTTCATATTTTCGGAATCGCATTTCCAGAATTTTTTGATAATTTACAGTCAACTTTTTCAAAACCAAAATTTTTCAATCTGAAATTTCGGAATTTTTCGACTACCTTCGAAGCTTTTTTTCAAAATCTCCCACCGGAATATAATAGTTTTTTGGATAAAAAAATGCATTTCAAACGTCATATCTAAAAGACTGTCTCGGAACCATTAAAACACTATATTTTTGGAATTAACACGTCGAACTTTAAATTTCTTATTTTTTAAAACAATTTTAGTCGTTTTTTTCAAAATTTTTTCAGTGTAGGAATTTCGGAATTTGACCATCTTCGAAACTTAACTAGAGACATTTTCTTGTACATTTCGACTCATTTCTTCTATAAATTCTACAATTTTTCAGAATCTCCAATTGAAATGTGACGGTGTTTTGAATAAAAACCATGCATTTCAAATCGAATATTTAGTATAGTATATGGTAATCAGCACGTCGAAATTAAAATTTTTCAAAACCAAAATTTTTCAATATACCTCCTACTGTCTTATTTTTTCGAGTACATCACTGTGTGAAACATCGTTATTATCTGATTCGAAAAATTAAGTTTAAATTGCAGTTGTTTTTGTCTATAAGATTCAACTTCTTTTTAAATATATACACTCTATATATTTTTCTACTGGCTCTCGTAGAGATTATGTTTTCAATTCATTAATGCATGTATCATACTGTAATATTTAATATTTTCATACATTTACTATCAAAATTAAATAAATTAACAAAAGTTATAAAAATTGCCAAAATTGCTAATAAAAATTTTGAATTGCGTTCAGATTAGTTAGAAATAATAACATTAAAACTAAGGTTACTTTCAAATTTTTGCAACTGCAAAACCTTTGAAACTTCCAAATATTTTAAGGTCATCGTAATCATGGTAAATCGTTAATCAAAATTTACCGAATATATAATCTCTGAGATGTGCAAAATATTATGAGTCTGGACTTGTGGTTTGTCAGTGCAGTCATAGTTTTTAGAATTATTATAGAAATTCATGAATGAGGCAATTTATTGTACTGATTAAATCAAGAACGACTCACCCCATTTTCTGGAAAATTTGGGAACACAGTACAAATTGATATACATGTTCTTGCAAAAATATTGATGATGTCACCATAAAATTTTGTAATAGAAAAACTCACTTGAAATAAACGCGTAGCATGGTTCTTTACCTTTATTTTAATATTACATTCATATCTTTATTTTAACTTATAAGGGTTATTATAAAAAAAAAACAAAATTCGCAAAATCAAATCTTGTGTTATAATTTTTCGAAAAATCTGGATGTATTATTCTGTACTTCACGGGCAAGGAATTTCTGACGAAATAACAATCGACCAATAATTTCTTAAGCCATTGATAATACAGAAATATAGTTGTAGTTTAGAATAAAAAAATGCTTTCGAAATTTTGTTTGTCCAAATATTGTCATTGTTAGAGCATATGAATGAACCATAAAGGAAACAAGAATTTTCTAGATCACCCTCATTCACCTGTTAATTTTAGAATTGAATCTATCTCCGGTATAACTTTCTTACCAAGCTATGATAGAAGAAAACGAACAACTAGACGAATAGTTTATTGTGATATAAAATAAAACAAGCATTAGATAATGTTAAACAAGAACTCCCCTAACTAGTAGATCTGGCAAATATGTGATGGCAGCTTTCGCATCTTCGTAAGTGCAGGCATACGAATAACCTTTAGTAGCATTACGTTTTTCCCAAGTCAGCCACGTAAATTCGTCCGAAATATCATTACAGATCACATTTTTGGGAATATCATCTTGAGTCAAGTGAGGATTATTAACAACCAAAAAAACAGCAGCCTTGTAACTCGTTCGTTCATAAATAAGTTTCCAAAATATGAGAGGAACCGGCATTACAGAACTCTTTTCATCATTATGCAAAAACAATTTAACTTCCTCTCCAGTATTAGCATCAGGTAGCGTCGCCACACCAAACGTTCCTGTGTACACCTCCAAATCTAATTTCTTAGTTTTAACAAAATCCACAACATTTCTTTCCAGTTTGTCCAGATTATAGTCAATGAAAGACCACTGAGGTGCTACATTTATATATCTAAAAGTAGCCTTTTGTTGCGAAGTGTACACAAAGTCCCCACGAAAGGCCAATGTGCGTCTCGTGAAGCAGAACCCAGGTGTCGTAATCAATGGATTAGCCCCACAACTCACAGGACTGACATATTGAGTCGAGTCTTCCGGCAACCCCAACAACTTATTAATTTGTTGCTCCTGATAAGTCACATTATCGTACAACGTATCAAAGTCGACGTCTACATTGTACACACTATCCACAACATACTGATCACTTAGATACGTCTTAATAAACCCGATGGATTTAGTCAAATTATAGTTAGCATAAACCGGAATTAAGTTCTTCTCATCGAAGCATATCTTCACCTGGGGCAGGAACTTGATGTTCAGACCGATTTGGAATCCGACTTCAATTAGGACGGCGTTAGGTGCGCAGGGCGTGGAGGTGACTTTGGGGACGACGGGGCTGAAATTGATGCAATCTAGGTTATCGAAGTCGACGATCGTGTCCTGAGCTTCCAATTGGTAGTCCTGATTACATGTAGCAAAGATTGTTTTCGTAGTGTTGTAGCTAGCCGAAAAACGGCCGCCGTTACATGAGATTATTATGGTGGCGCCGACTGGCAGGCTGATGTTACGATTGTCTGGTGAATTCTCGATGGGAGGGTAGAGCATCTCAATGTTTTCCGCCGATAAAAGGACGGATTGCCAAACGCGGAAGGGTGCGAAGTTGCAGCCTGAAAAAATATTTTTTTAGAAAACACCAAGTTCACGGTCGGGGCACGTGATGTGGACGGGAACTAAATTTAGTCGCTGGATGTTGAAAAGTTTAATGTTGGAATGCAATTTTAAATTATGAAGTGTTTTTTCTGCAGGAGGAAATATCGGTTGTGTGTGGTGGAAAACAAAATAATTTAGAGTAAATTACGCTAGTGTTAGGGAATATTAGATAAAATTCTACTCACTACTACACGTTTTTTACAAATGAAGCGGCACTCTCAGGTTTCCGGTTCGTGGTAAAACAAAAATGCAATGTACGAAAAAGTTAGATGTAATCATTGACTCGTATTGTTTAATTTTACGTTTATTTTAGGTTATCAAATAAATATTTGTTCGTTTCTAGAGTACTATGATATGGTCATTTGAACGAATATCTAAGAATGCTTTTTTGGGTCTACACTGCTCTTAAAACACAAAAAAAAAACCAGAATAATTCTAATCAAACTAGGAATTTTAGGTGGCACAACTTTAAAACACTAACTCACTGGCAGATTATTTAAGTTCACAAGTTTAAGTTTGATTTAATTATTTTTTTTTTTTTTAATACACCAATTTGACTTTCACTTACAAAAAGAAAATATCGATTTAGATAAACAGATTTAAAAAGGTGAAAAATTAGCCACTGCTAGATTAATTCTGAACAATTTTATATTTCTTGTGATATTATAATATGAAGAAAACGATAGACAAAGACAATATTTCCAAAATTATTTTGAATAATGAACTTAAAAATCCAAAAAATTGCAATATTCCCACAGGCGTTTCTGGAAAAATGAAAAAATGATAAACTAACATTTGTAAATGTCTAATGAATCTACAAAAAGTCTTAGTTAAGTTCCAAAAGTGGTCGAAAATTCGTCGAAATTTTCATGGGGTAAGGGAAAAATTTTGCTCCTGAAACAGTTATCAAAAAGTTCACTAGATATAGATTTCGACGCGCTGATTCCAAAAAACTGGAGTGTCCATGATATCAGGGCAATATTTTAGAAATATTTGGTTTGAAAATATTATTTCTTAAATCCAAAAAAGTCCGTATGATTTCTTGTACTCAATACTAAGTAATGATTAAAATATGGTGAAATTTAATTAATTTTAGAAAAATTGTACTTTGAAGGTCTTCTACATTTGGGCCCGCAGATTTTTTAAACTGTTTTTTACCTGTATATAATTCTCACAGTGTACCATTGATATTATTTTTATTTTAGTTTAGGCATTATAGAAGACTGATTAAATTGTGTTTGTTCATCCCATATTAGATTAATCACTTTCGAAAAAAGTTTGTTGCTTGTTAGCAATTTATAGGCAGAAAATCTCTAAAACTACTAGGCCGATTATATTATGGCACTTTAGGTCTATTTTACGAGTATCGTGCAAAGCAAAAGTTGTCTGTCATCTCCATTTAAAAACATTTTAAGATTATCGTACACCGAATAAATCACTAAACAAATTAATCCCCCTTCAAAAACTTCATGACGTCTTCTCAAGATTTTGATAGATAAATTCCGTCTATACTTATGCTTGTGTTCGAACGATTGCTGCATATAATAAAAATTTCTAGGATTAACTTATTTCCCATTTAAGTATGTTTGTCGTCAGGGTCAATTTTTATTAGACAGATAATTTCTAAAACTACTCGACCGATTGTTGTCAAATTTTATGTGTGTTAGGAATATCATGTACCCGGTATTTATAAATCATTCTAAGGGCGTACTTGCCCATGGATTTAAAAAAATCCGCTTTGCTGAAATTATGCCTCATTATATAAGTTCTCACTTGTCATTAATGTCATTTGCAACATTTCGTTTAAGGTCATCGTTTTTATTGTTTTAACGTTTTTAAAGTGTGAATTACAGTAATTCTCGTTGATCGAAGCTCAAAACACCAAAAGAGTCGTTTTCAAAACTCTTGGTGCTTGCGTATGAAAATTTTGTTTTGTGCTTTTATTCTGCTGAACAAGACACTTTCATTGTTATGTCTTGTTATCGCAATATATCTGGCCAAATACCTTAATTTAATAATTCAAGAAACGTCGTTAGAGGCTCAAATTAGAGACGTAATCAAGAGATTTGTTCGACCTGGCAGTGTCAACAAAGGGAAATTTCGTGGAAGACCTTCATTATCTGAGGAAGTTGTTGATAATTTGAGACAACTTGAGCAGAATCCGGAAACATCTTTGATAAAATTTCCTCAGCAGTCAGGAGTTATTGTTGCAACATGAAATTGAACAACGGGTCCAAAACATCAACGAAAGGATGTTACAGAACATTTTTTAAATTAAAAAGATAGTCACTTGAACAAAATGGTAAACATTTTTAACATTTACTGTAATGCTTAACTGCAATAAATTTGTTTTTTTTTATTGTAATTCATTTATAGAAACCCTGTAGAATCAAATGGTAAAACTGTATTTTATGACGATACCTCAAAATTTTTATTGGTAATTCCGCATCCGCATCCGCATCCGCAATAATCAATGCGGAACTCATGCGGATGCGGATGTAAATGTGGTGCAAGTCGCGACAAGAAAGAAATTAGTTGGAGCCGACGAGTGACGCATAGCGTGCACTCGTGATGCATTGACCAATAGGAAGACAAGAATTCTACTTTCGGTGTTCCGTTTCGCACATCAGAACGTGTTTAGTCGGGGTTGCGCGAATTGTGAACGTTTTGTTTTTGTGTTATTGGACAAGTGAATCTACAATGGCACCAACGATGCAAAGTGAGATTTGGACTTATTTTAAACCAGATGATGATCGAAATAAAGCTCAGTGTATAATATGTAATAAAACATATTCTCGCAAGGGTCGTACCACTTCGTCTTTGAAAAATCATCTGATTAATCGTACCGAATTAAAAATTTTATCTGGAATAGCACGCAGATTTTTATCGCCTCCACCAGCTAGTGTTCCCAGTGAACAGTTATTTAGTAGTGCAGGATTAATTTATGAACCTCTGAGAAATAAACTCGAATCTGAAAAGGCCGCAATATTACTTTTTATTAAATATAATTCAACAATTTTTAAATTTTCGTACTAAAAATTTGTTTATTAAATAAAAATATTAAAAACCCCCATTTTTTAACTGATTTCTGTACATATACTAAGTTTCTTAAAAAAAAACTTGAGATCCGCATCCGCATCCGCATCCGCGGATGTGAGCTCCCAAAAATCCGCATCCGCATCCGCATCCGCGGATGTTGAAAAATCTGCATCCGCAACATCCCTACTATATATATTCCAGTATTTGTGGTTTATGAATCCGCCTTCAGGTTTTACGTGGTATACAGACCTTAAAAAAATATAATTTTCCAGTAAAGTTTTATAAGAGCCAAGTTTGCCAATATTCACAGCTTAGTAGATTAGCGCGCGGGCTAATAAGGTAAAGATCGCTAATTCGATCTTCTCATAAGACTCTGTTTTTTTCTTACAGCGCGATTGGTATAATCTATGTTTCTTTTCTAAACAACTGGATTTGTTTCCGACCAATTTTTTCTAAAATAAGCGTAACCTGGTACAAGAGTTCTTAAAATACTACGTGTTTTAGTTTACTATTTTTGTGTCCTATATTTTCTATACAATTCAGAATTTACAGGGTGTCCCATTCAAAACTCCGCTGCCTTCTATCTTGAGAACGGATAGAGATATTGAAATTCTGCAAACGCCGTTGTTTTTGACTTGAAGGGTATAACTTACTTAGTAAATTACAAATGTGACCCATATACCTGTATTATACTTTTTTTAATTGCAAAGTTTATTTTTTTACGGACTTTGATATATCGTTAAACTGAAATTGCTTTTGAAATAGATCTTGTTGATTATAAAAATCACGAAACTTTCATTTTTAAATCAACCGAATATGAAATAAATACATAAGTGTTGTAATATCATTATAATGGTCCATCAAACTCCGTCAAGAAAAATATACGTTGCATTTTAAAAAAATACAAGTTTGCCATTATGCGTCATATTTGCAGTATACTAAATTAAGCCTCCCCTTGAAGCCAAAAACACCGGCGTTTACAGAATTTCAATATCTCTATTCGTTCTCAAGAAAATTTAAATTATTTTTACGGAATTTTAACAGGGACGGGACACCTGTATATGAAAATTTCAACTTAAAATAATGTAAATTACGTTAAAATATACAGTCATTTCAATGTGTCATAATCGCCTTTTTGTCTAATTTTACGATAAGTTATAAGTAGGTACTGTTAGGCGTAAATAAGTGAGAGCTTGTCATGCACTTTTTGGGGGTCCGAAAGACAGCGGCTGTATCGCTGTATCTGACTAGTGGTGGCAGATAAAAAGTTATTTCCGCCTATCTTTAGTTATAACTTATAAGTTAAGGACAATACCATATGATCGAAAAAAGTCGTCTAATAAGCCGTGAAATTTGTTTTAAAAATGTTAATTACTATTAATTAATTTATTTATTTTACAGTTATTTGATCGTAAATGTCAAAAAACAAATCGGCATTTTTGTTCTCGGTCACATGGGACTAGCAGTTGTACGTTTTTTATATAAGTGGTTGAATTTATCAGAGATTACGACACTATTATTTTAAAACTATTTCAAAACAGATAAAAGTTAGTTTCTTCACAACACAAGATGGGTATTGGACAAGAATGACTTTATCACTAAGAAAACTACTCATTTTTCCTAAAACCCACATTTGGTCGAAATATACCTTCGTAGGTAACTAAGTAATTTTCTTAAAAATATTGTTCTTTGTAAGTACGTGCCTGTGTTTAAAAAATGAATCTTCTTTTGTCGTCACAGCTATATTGCTTAGGTTCATTATTTATCCTTGTTGTAATGGTAATCAATTCATTTATTACAAAAGTAAAATAACTTATTTATCTGTTGAACTGTACCAAAGTCTTTTGTATATATTTATTTAATATAATTTCTTTTTGTTGTGATATTCATTTTGATTCATGGCAGCATGTTTGTAATT